TTGCAAAGAGAGTGGGAGTATATTTTTTATCGGGATAAAAAATCTAACGGAACCGCCATGCTGGCCGAAATTTGGCACAGTTGCCGGCCAGTATACGAGAAAGGGGAGATAATCGTTATGTAATGAGCGAGCCGGCTGCAGAAACAATTATAAAAGCACGCGAACCAGAAGAGGATGATTTCGAGAGGAAGAAGAAATGAAGAAAGGCCTCGATTCTATCATTCTTGAGAATAAATGAAATGAGAAAAAAATGTAAACGACCCAGTTGGCCTGGATAGTCGCGCGCGCAATTCGCGCTTTATTGCATCACTACTTGCTGGCGAGGATGCATAAAATAAAAGAGTTGGCTGCTCGCATTGTGCAAAATAATGTGTGGATTACTTTTGCGAAAGGGTTACATTCACGTGTGGGCAGAGAAGAAGAAGTCGTGCCGAAGACGAGCCGGGCAAAATTATTGCGCGCTCAGCAGGAGAGACGCGTGAGTTGGATATTATTTGCCGAGCGGGTCCAATTCCATAGCCCACATTTCGGTTAATTGCGAGAACGAATGCTGGCCTCTTCACGAATAGAAATAATTTACGAAAAAATAAAATCCACAGTTTCGAGTAAAAAAAAAATGGGCCGCCAAAGTATTAATTTCATTTAAAAAGATGCACAGACGATTGTGTTGCAAATTCCAAATTTAAATCATTTCATTTTGCTCCTGTCTTTAAAAGTGAGGAAAAAATAGAAAATAATTGCAAAAAAACTGGATTTTAGCCTTTTTGAAAGTTCCATTGCTAAGAATTGGCCTAATTTACACAAAATTTCACAGCATATATATAAAAATATGAAAACACGGAGAAAATGGGGCTTGATTGGCAATTTTTTAATTGCGTAAAGCCATGTAAAAGGGTTATTTTTTACTCCACAGCACAAAATTGAGTCAAAATGGGGCAATAAAAACAGATTTGACTCTATCTGAAGCTTCTCGTTCTCATATACATACCGATAAAAATTTAAAAGATTTAAATGCTAAATAGAGCTTTATTTTAGCTGAAAATTGAAAAACTCCTATTTAAATGTGAAAAACTTTTAACTAATGATTTTTTACAATCCTCTAATTTTCTAAAAAATGAAAATCCAATAAACCTCAAGGAAAACCTACAATAAATTCAATTCATATTAAAATAATTATTTTTAAATTAATGAAATTTAATCTGCATGATTTTTATTATAAAAAACTTCTGCAAACTGATTCTCACTTTATATTGTTCTATAAAAAAAAGAAATAAATGAAAATAAAAACTACACAATGAAAAAATAATGTAATGTAATTAAAAAAATCCTCTTGTTATTTCAAAGTGTAATAAATTTAATCCTCTCCCCTTTCCAAATTCGGCTATTTTTTTTGTGTAAAACGATTTGGGTATTTCACATAAATCTAAATTTTACAGCTTTTATATTCTCATCTGCTGACATTTCATTCCAAATTCAGCATCAAAGGCTGCCCACGACGACACCCGCTCGTTTTCCATTTAAACCCAAAATTAGACCTGCCTGAGTCTCTGTCTATCTAAATCGACGCCTTTCGATTCCTTTCTCGTCGCGCCGCCGATCGTGAGCGGCTCGCGCCCAACTCACACACACAATCAGTCAGTCAGTAAAGCACAGTTAAAATATTTACGAATTTGCGGTCAGGCGGCTGTTAAAAGGGTCTAAAGTGGGCTATCCGCAGAGGCGTGGGCCACAAATAAAGACACACGCGAAGAGAATGCCGCTTTCCGAGCCATCCCGCCCACCTTCACCTCGCTTCAATTCACAATTTACGAGAGAGACGTACGTGTAAGCAAAGCGTTTATGTTTTGTTCTCGTGCCTAATTGGAACACAAGAGGGCCTTTTTCATTTTCTTCTAAATTGCATCCTGCTCGCTCGCCAGATGAAAAATAAGGCTGACCTCTCGCCTATATAATAATATTCGAGTTGAAATTGGATTCCACGTGCGCGAGACGCAAAATGTCCTTCACACTCCACAGGCCGTCGTACATAAAATGTTTTATTGCATACCCACGGGGAATTTGAAAGGGTAGAGTGTAAAATGGAATTCTGCAAAGATTTTAAGTTTTAAATATTAAGCACTAAATAAAAATAAATTGAAAGAAGGAAAAAATAAAATTTAAATCGAATTCTTACGCAATTAAATAAAATAATATGTTTGTAGAATTTAAAAAATTTTAGGTGTCTATGTTTTGAATACAGCTTTCAGTTTTTTTTAAAACTTGGTTGATTGAAGAGAGCCAAGATATTAAATCATTTTAAGTTGACAATCATTAGTTAAAAAGTATAGTTTATACACACAATACAATAAAGGTCAGGTCACAAACAATCACTGACCTCTAAAACCTTAATTAATAATTAAAATAATTTTTACCTTTAAATAATATTCTGAAAATCCAATTTCAATGTTTTAGATCTTTGTAAAACGATTATAATATGTTTTTGAAAATAATTTTTATACAAAAATTGACAGAGTTATAAATTTTTGAATTTCGTGAGCAGACCAAGGGAACTTACAAAGCTAATAAACCTTCCCAAATATTTTTCTGACAACGAAAGCATTAATTTTTCTTAAATCCATTTAAATTGTTTCGCAATTGTCTTTAAGGAAATGACTATGATTTTCTGAAAGTTTTCGAATGTGTTCTTAAAACTTTTAATGGTCCAGAAATGATACAATTTCATTTTATTTCATTTTTACCGATTTTTACTTATGCGATTCAAACTAAAGAATAATTAGTTCTCTTTTATTTCAGAATAAATTTTCCTCTTCAGCCAACTGAATTCTTTTACTTTTTTGTTGCAAAATAATTAAAGAGTACAATAAAAAAATGTAGGTTGAAATTGAGTTTCGGGGGAAAGAGGAAACTCGCCGCCTCGGTGTGCTGCTTCTTGCAAATGAGCCGCCGGTGTGGAGCATAAATTATTATTATTCACACATATAATAAAAAAGCACACACGGTTTAAAGTGGCGTGGCACGCGCAACCTGAGAAGGGCGGCATCAGGGTTGAGTGACCTGACGCCCGCCCGCCTCCTTGACGGCACCGGGGGACAAATACTTAAAGGCAGCCGAGTGCATCAGTCACGACTGCGCGTGCATGCCGAGCTAAAAGACTAATAAAAGACATAAGGGCAGCAGATGCTCTACACGTTATAAAATACAATTTTGTGCCCACACGACGGAACACAAAGCGCGTCACGACTCTCTTTCTGCGCGAAATATGCAGCTTTGTTCGGCGATTTTATTTTTACATTTTCTCCCGGCAATGCATTGTGCGGATTTGAAGAAGAGGAAGTTTGCGTGCTTCAATGGTCACAAATGGCGTAACGGCGCTTTTCGGAATGCAGAATTGAAAATTATTTTTTATTATATTACGAGATTCGCCAGAGGTTCAATGCCAGTGGTTAACGAACTGCCTTCACAAAATTGCAATGAGAATGAATTCTCGTTTTGAATGAAAGGGTGATTTGATGGTTCAGACTAGAGGAAGAGGTTGATTAGGCGAATTCAATCAGAATGATCATCTATTTGGCTGCCACAGCATTCTTTTGTCATGACACGTGCGAAATTAATGCTGTGCAAATTGATAAAATACTTGATTTTTCAGGTTCTAAAAATCTGACTGATATAAAATTAATTTTTCTGATAATTTTTCTTCAATATTTTTTATGTCTCATCAGTTTGTACTAACTTAAAATTTGATGATATTCTTTTTCAAAAGGATTGGATTAAATTTTCTTGAGAGATCAAAATTTGAAATAAGAGAATTAAGGACACACAAGATTGATTTTTGATGAGAATGGTCCTTGAACAAATGCAATAATTTAGAGCTTTAAAAGTTGCATTTTCAAAGTATTCTTAATTATTTCAATGAAAATAAGATCTATGAATTAATTCTGAAGCACAAAAATCGTCAGTTTATTTTCTAAATTCACCAATAAAAGCACGAATCATGCAATTTTGAGCAAATAAATTTATATTAAAAATTATTTAAAACAGACTAAATTGACTTAAAATAAGTTTTAATGTTTATAACCAGCTTAAAGAAGACAAATTTTTTGGAACAAAACTTGCTTAAGATTCAATTTTCTTGAAAATCACTTATTTAATATTCCAAAATTTGCAGTATACGCAAAACATGTTATAGTTTTATTTTAAATTATTTTATAATTCAAATGAACTCACAAATTGACTAAATAATTGAACAGATTTCGAATTAGATTAGAAAGTTGTAGAGAAAATTTTATAAAATTATGTAGGATTTCTTTTTCTATAAAAAGTTCGAATTCATTTTTAAACGTTTTGCAAATAACATACTTTTTTTGTAATTTTCGTTAAAAAAAACTCGTTTATTTATTTTATTTTTAAATTTAAATCGTCAATTTTATACATGTTAAATTACTTTTTTAATTTCTCAATTTTTTCTACGTTTTTTTTACTATGAAATTTTAACATGAACAAAATAATGAGCGTCTATTTAATCTCACCTAGAAATCAGCGCGCCAAGCCGTTTATACAGACTAACTAACTGCTGGTCAGGGCGTGCATATTTTCCCATCCTTCAAAACGCACTCGCTCGCGTCCCTTCTTTTTTTCAAAAACACATTGTGAGAAACGAAGGCACCAGGACCTTCCTTTCTTTCTCTCTTCGTCTCATTTAAAAATTCTTTTCATTCTAATGCTCGGCGTCTTTCTCCGCGGCTGCAAACGTCCACCTTTAATTTTTTTAATTTCGTGGGAAAGTCCCAGTTGCTCGGCAGCCTCGTTTAGAAATTCAGATTCTCAAGCCAATGTAAAAAAGCGAATTTAGCATCGAGGAAGGAATTTTCGAAAACGAGCTTCGCATCGCTCCGCTGATTTGAAAAAGATCGGATTGCATAGTCAGGGTGAGGCGAGATTCGGTTTCGCGTCCTGCCGCCGCTTTCGTTACCTCGAGCGGATCGGGTAAAAATGCACAATACCTGCTGACTGCTTATTCTTGTCGGTTGGCGTCAATTAGGCCGTGAGCATAAGGTGAGCATACCTGAAACAAGCGAGCAGACATTTTATATTTATTTACGGACTGCCTTCGTTCTTGGAAATTCAAGAAGCTGTTGGGAGGTCTGATTTTCCAGACTGTTATTCAACATCAGGAAGAATATATATAAAAAGTTGAAATTGCAAGAGTGGAGAGAGAAAAACATAGCGGCTTGTGGTTTGAAAACGAGTTAAAAGCTGTGTAAACTGAGACCTAACTTGGAATTTATTTAAATCATTATTACGTAACTCGAAGCAAAAATTTGAGATTAAATTTCGTAAATTACGGTTAAGTTTGTGGTGAATTTGTTATCCTGAAATTACTTTTGAAATTTTTTAATAATAATGGCTGTATTTTGATTAAAATCAGTACCGACGTTTATTGAAGATCAAATATTAAAGTTAAATTTTATCATTTATTTGATTTTAAATGTGGAATTTGGAAAAAGATGCTCCCATTTTTTTTTTTACAAAATCAAGAATATTTCAAACTAATCTGGGCCTTTTTTTAAAATAAAAATTATAAATAGATTTTGCAATGAAATAAAGAGCAATACGTTTTTTTTATGAATTTAATGAAATCGACTTCCGCTGATTATGCGTTAAAAATTTCGCACCACTTTTCTTTCGTAAGTCGCAGAGGTGCCAACAAAGAAACCGGCGAAACACAAAAAGCCGCTTTTGTTTTTAATCAGCATGCGAAATGACACAGATAAATTAACACGCGACACATACAAAGAAGGTCGGCCCGTCGCGAAGGGACAATAACCAAACTTTTCATAACATATAATTCTCCCACAACACTTTAAGTGCAGAAATCGAGCCGCAGGAAACGGATATTGGCATCCAGCTGAAAAAATATATTTCCTTTCCGTCTCGTTCTCGCCACGCCTGAATTCCTCCAAGGTTTTTTTTTTGAAAGATTGCTCGGACAGATTCATATATATTAGTGAAGTAATTTTGTACGAAATTAAAAGGCCGAGGTGCATAAGAAGAAAAGGGTGCACCCGGAATATCGAGAGCTGCATAAATGCTTTTCGCTCGCTTCGGCCTCGGCGAGCATTCAAGGTGAGCAACATTGGAGCAATCACACTTACTCTTTTGTCCAACCCGTGCTGGCATTCTACATTAAAAGGTGCCCATTCCTCATGATAAATATGGCACACGAAACTGCCGTGTTAATGGAGAATGCAAAATTATTAAATTTAAAATTGAAAAATTATTAAAATTGTAAGACATTCAAAAATTTATCGAAAATGACATTTCAAATTAAATTGTTATGATTTCAAAAACAAATTTAATATGGCTTTTATAAATGTTTTTATTTAATTCAACTCAATTTAGTTACCGTTTTTATCTGTAATTTTAATTACTTCAACATAATATATCAAGATTAAATTTCATTTATTATTAATATATTTTTTTTCTTCAGATCCGGGAGTGAATGGATTCGTAAACAGCTGCGTGCCTTATTTCTCGCGGCCGCCCCGCCCTTGCAAGGGCCGCGAGTGGGTGGGTCAGAGATTGTGTGACGACAGCATTCGCACACCGGACTGAAACTATACAAGAGCCGTACGCATAGATGGATACTTTCAACTTTTCAAGTGTGAAGTAATGTTGCCCTCCGCCGACCGCATTCCTTTCGGGACGGACCGAAAATAAAATTAATCAATGTTTTATCGATGAAATTCCAAATTAAAAAGGATGAAATTTCATAGGGAGAGCAAAAATCACTTTAAATGCAACCGGCTGCATCCCTCTGTCAGGCGTGTTGCATAACTCGTTATTTGAAATATCTTAAAAAAAATTCGAAATAATTAATTAGGAAAATCGTGTTGAGAGCAAGATAATTAATTTTAACCACAAGAACAATCAAGATGAGTCATTAATGGCTAATCTCTCTTGATCTTGTTTTTTCCTCTCCTTTTAATTACTTCGCTTCACCGGCCTGCATCTGCATCGATCTGCATCTCTCAAAATGTAACGGCTGCACCTTTAACGAATTGCAAATGTTGGACGAGCTTTCGTCTCTCGCGGGTTCAATCACCGCCGGTTGAGAAGAACAAGAGTGGCAATCAACTTCCGTTCCTGCTCGACTCACTGCCCCTGAGTGTGTGTCCGCGAGCTGCGTTTTCCTCCAGGTGGTGTGTTATTAGCCGTCAAGTCATTATCGCCGCCACAACGTGTACCACCTGCCGAAATCAATCGCCTTGAACTTCACTCGTAATTATTTTGCTTTACATAATAACACCTGATTTATATTCAAATTTTTTGTCCGAGCAAGAATAATATGAAAAATAAAGAATGTAAAAATATGATAATTGAATATTTGAAAGAATTTTTGTAAAAATTTGGACAGTTTTAGAAATTGGACAAACAAAAGACAATATTAATTATCAAAATTATGATTTAATATAAGATTTGAGTTTTTAAAACATTATTTTTCTTAAAATCGAGAAATTTCCTGAATAGTTTTCAAAGCTGGAACCGCCTCGTAAATCTTTTTATTTTATCAAAATCCTTGAGACCTTTGTGAGTCTCACACAATTGATTTTTTATCTCCTTTATGGAAATGCTGGTGGTTCTTTTTTTTTATTCTCTTTAATCCCCGATTCCAGCACCTTGAAACAAATCATAATAGCGAACCTTCAACGCTCTCGGCGCTCTGCCCTTTTAATTGAAAAGCTTTCCAGGCGTGGCCAAATGCAATTGAAATCGCAAGAAGTTTTCCCAACAAGTTTTTTTTAAATGTTACACTTTACACAATATGCATTCAATTATAACGAAAGCAACAACAATTGCATCGGTTTTATCAGATTGGATGCTACACAAGCCATTTCCGGCTCGACCTCTTCTCGGACTTTCTTTCTTTCTCCATCTCCGTGTTTTCTTTCTCTTATTGTTGCGTTAGCATATGTGTTGGTCAACAATGAACGAAAACGGTGCGCGTTATCGCGACGTGTAGATCGAGTCTACGATAATCTCGTTTTCGGCCGCACTGGTTATGACGACGTGTTGCTGCCAAACTTCATGCTCACTGGTTCAAAAATGAGAAACTTATGTAACAATGCGGGCCTAATCACGCTTTTGTCTTTTAGTTTCGGGAAATGAGTCTGACAACGACCTGGCAGATGCAGTGGATTATATATTTAGTTGTGAAGTTGCTTTGATAAATGTGATACGGTTGCACACGTGGTTTTAATTCCTTAATAACTTTTTTATCTTTACGAATGAAAAACTCATTTGTTGTAATAATGAGTTGCGAATCCGAATTTGTAATCTCAACAAGACATCTAATAAAAGGAAGACTTGGCGTTTGAGGTTAATTTCTTCTTCTGGGTTTTTCAGTTAAAACATAATAATCTTCAAAGAATCAGGTAAAATTGAGTCTATTTTAACACATTTAAAATCGTTATAAACTATCTAAAAATTATTGTGACAAAATAAGTTTACAAAATAAAGAAAAATTAAAAATCAATTGTTCTAAAAGCAAACATTTGCATGAATCGCATTGAAAGTGTTGATTATTTTAATTGAAATTCCGTGTAAATGGTGAATGGAAACTTTTTAATTCGAATTAAGTTCAAAAACGTTCCAAACTATAAAATAAAAAACTGAATTAAATAAAAATTTGCAAAGGAGCGGATACTTCAATATTTGAACTGTTTTAATACAAAATGAATTAATAGGTTTTAAAAATCGACCAAAATTGCTGAGATCCGTAAAAATCATACAAAAATATTTTCAAATTCAATAAATATATATACAATGATTGCTTTACATTATTTTCTTTAAATTTGAAAATTTTTATTTAGGATGAATCATTTTCTGAAGATATAATGTCAATAGCCAGAAGAAAAGTCAGGTGTTTTTTCGTCAGAATCACGGGATGGTCCTACCTTCAAAAAGTGAAACTCTAAAAGTGTTCTAATTTAAAGATAACACCCGCACGGCAATTGAATTGTAAACAAACACGACATACGGCCCTGTAAACTCGCGCTCGAATAAAAATACACAATTGAACACATGATTTCCTCATTCCTCCTCGATCCGAACACACGAACTTTTTTCCTTTCTGTCTGGACGGAAATTCGGCAGACTTTTTGAGCGATCGAGAGAGTGAAGTAAAAGTTAAAACGTCGACCTCTGATCAGGCGTGACTGACGCTAAAAAATTATTAATCGGCATGTTTGAAACTTGAAAGTGCAGCATAATGGCCAGCGCTGGACGTCTCGGCGAAGAATAAGAAAGTCCCCGCGGCAGGTGCATTGTGTTTCAATATTTGAATTCGATCGCCATTAATCTGTCCTGTCCGCGCGATCCACATTTAATATACAATGTTGATTATTATTTGCTCTCACTTTTCACGAGGCACACGCATGCACTGTGTATTAATAAAACAGGCCGTTAATTATGATAATTTAGAAATGTTTGAAGAAAGAGTGGAGAGCGCGTCGGTGTGCAACTCGATCTCACGTGCTGATATAGCAATTGAAAAAAAAATAGTCGTTCTATAATTGAAAAGTATAAATTAAATAAATTTTTTTAAACATTAACATAAAGTGTGAAAATTTTGTAAAGAAGTTCATAAAAGCACATTTTACTTCAATAAAATTTAATTTAAAATTGTTTCGTCAAAATTTAATAAAAGAGTGAAAATTTCGAACAGAAGTTCATAAAAACTCTACATTTTACTTCATTAAAATTAAATTTAGAATTGTTATGAATGCAATTTACAATTATTTTGTCAAAATTAAAAGATTTGGTTTAAATCATATTATATTTTGGGAGGAAATTAAGTGCTGCGCCAAAGTAAAATTTTGTCTGTATGATTTTAAATTTTTACTTTATTGTCACTAATCTTAGATTACTATTGATGATCTATAAGATTAAATTTAACAATAATAATTATTATTAATTTAGAAAAAAATAGCTAAACTTCATTTCCAATGAAAAACTCGTTTTGTTTTCCAAATTTGAAGATTCTGATTTAATTGTTAAATATAA